CATTGTGTCCTTGTAAATTCAAAACACTTCAAAATCATACTTAATGGGGTCTTTTATTACAAAATTTGGCCAATATAATCAGCATTTTTTACAGTATAAAATACTTTACGCCTATGGAGAGTCCCTGTAAACCACCAATACCAACATATGTGTATGTGTGTGTGGGGAACCAGGTGCATGGGTGGTAGAGAGATAGAGACATAGAGGGCAGGCTAATTAATGTAAGCATTTGCCAGTGATTAAGCTTTAAACAGAAAGGTCAGCTGAGCAGCGGAGCAGGGCCCGTCCCAATGCCTTGCTCTTAGGGCAGTCTAAACCTTTCCAGCTTAAATGGTAAAGATGCCATTTCACAATGGGGGAGCGCGGGACACATGTAGGCCTGACACACGGGTCATCGGCTCGCCACCCTCCATTACCCGGCCAAGGCAAATGTGCCGATCTGTGTCATTTAAGGGATGAAAAATAAGGGCCCCGGACGAGATCAATAGATCCTGCGGTCCTCAATCGGCTGTGATTAATTGACTGTCACCAATTAATGGGGGAATGATTGCAAACCATTGTCTGAAGCATATGTGGGCAAAATACAATCTCTAGAGTATCTGGACTGCTCAGATAATATGATTCAGTCTACACTCGAAAATGCAGAGCTGTTTCAATACGTGTACACATTTTTACTCAAATTTGGGTAAAATATGAATAAACACGCGCATTTTATTTTTGTTCAAATTTAAGACAGTTGGTTTGGTGTGCATTTGATCAGATTTGGAGTCTTTTCTGTCCCTAATTGGTCTTTAAAACATATAGTTATACATCAGACACATGAAATCATATATGCTTAATTTATGCTTATAAACATTATGCCTCCTTTAAAGGGATAGTTCACCCAAAACTGAAAATTCTGTCATCATTTACTCACCCTTTAATCATTTCAAATCTCTAAGAGTTGATGTTGTTGAACTCAAAAAGAAGGTATCTTGAAGAATTTTGGAAACCTGTAACCACTGACTTTCATAGTATGTTTTTTTTCTACTATTGTCGATGGTTTTCCAGCAATCTTTAAAATATTGTCTGAACAGAAAAAAAAACAAAACCTCAAAGTGTATGGATGACAGAATTTTCATTTTTGGGTGAACTATCCCTTTAACTACAGAATATTAAGATTTTTTTTTACATAGTAATTATAAAATAAGCATAAAGATGTTTCTTTATGCAGTCTGGATCAAATTATATTGACAAAATTATTTTTTATATGAATGAAAACTGCATAAAATGCAAGCAAATTGTCTGTTTGTTTGTGTTGCAAATAATGATTAATAAAAAAATAGGAATATAAAAAATTCCTGGAATAATGTAGTCAGTGTAACAGATATATTTATGTAAAATGAAACAAGTTATTCTGACCTAACTAATGAGTAAGTGATTATACTAAACGTTACACATTTTTAAAAAATGAATAAATATTATTTTTCCTATTATTTTTAGCAATCAGAATTATTTTTAATATATAATTTGGAATAAATGTTTTGGTTAAAAAAGTGAGACAATTTTATTATTATTGTTTTTCAAATTAATTTTTATTTCCTATTCAGTATACATTTATTGATGACAACAAAACATGTATCATAAAAAATTGATTTTAAATAAATGCTCTTCTTTGTATAGTCATACTCATCACAGAGTCTTTAAAAAATGTCTTTGACATGGATAATAACAAAAAATTATATATATAAAAAAAATAATAATTCAAGCAGCAAGTCAGCAAAGACTGATCTCTGAAGCATTGTGTGACAGACTCAAGTCTGAAGCCAAAAATATCTATAGAAACATACAAATAAATGGCATTTGAAAAAATAGTAAAAGAGAAAGCAGTTATAAACTTATCTAAACTTTATAGTTTATTATTTTCTTCTGAAAAAAGTCGTATTTGTTTTATTTTGGATAGAATAAAAGCATTACCTACAGAACAAACCATCGTTATATAATGTAATGTAGTGTGTGTATTTATATAGCGCATTTATCGTGTATGGCCATACACCCAGAGCTCTTCACAATCATGAGGGGGGTCTCTCCACACCACCAACAGTGTGCAGCATCCACTTGAATGATTTGACAGCAGCCACAGGACAACGGCGCCAGTGCACTGAACACACATCAGCTATTGGTGGAGTGGAAAGACAGTGACAAAGCCATGTATGGGGATGATTGGGAGGCCATGATGGGTATAAGGGCCGATGGAGGGAATTTGGCCAGGACACTGGGGGTACACCCCTACTCTTTACAAGGAGTGCGTCATGGGATTTTTAATGAACACAGAGGGTCTACTGTTTCATCCGAAAGACGGCGCTCACTGACAGTATAGTGTCTTCTTCACTATACTGGAGTATTAGAGCCCACACAGACCACAGGTTGAGCGCCCCCTGCTGGCCTCTCTAACACACCTCCAACAGCAACCTAGCTTTCCCATGTGGTACTGAGGTACTGTGGTACTGTGGTATCCAGGTACTGACCAGACTCAGCCCCGCTTAGCTTCAGTGAGAAACCGGTCTTGGGCTGCAGGGTGATATGGCTATGGCCAGTGATTTCCCTAATTACCTAACTTTGCCTAATTAACAGAATTAAGCCTTTAAATGTCACTTTAAGCTGAATACTAGTATCTTGAATAATATCTAGTATCTTGAATAATATCTAGGAACATGTGGGATCTTGATCTGGCACCTCTGAAATCTGATCCAGCACCTCATTTTACCGATCCCCCTCCTCAACCGCTCTCCTCCCCCATCGCTGTTCACTTTCACTTCCTTCCGCGACTCCCCTACTCTCCAATTTCGTCCGAGACACGCCCGCCCGCTTACTATCGTCCGCGACATCCACTACAGCAGTCCACCCCTCTCCACTTTCGTGCAGGACACCTCTCCATCCTCGCGTAACATGCTGGATCCGTAACCCCGATCTGTTCGGGGACCTCACAATTCACAAATTAAGCACTATTAGATGTTACACCTGGCTCAGTTATGTGACATAGTGAGGGAGACGACACAGCAAAGTATAATCAAAAAGAAGATTTATTTAGCACAATTGACAATAGTATAATCAAAACATCAGTATCAGTATGTTCAATCAGTGTGAAATGCAAGTGAATGGTTGCAGTAAGTGTTGTCAGTGATAGTGTATGGATGCAAAAACAAAGCATAATGCCCAAATTGGAGCACAGCTCTGGCCAATGGCCAAGTGAATAGACAGGGCCCCGACAAACTCTCTGAAGGGGCTTAAATAAGGTGGCTGACCAGCATCAGGTGCGCTGAAGCCACGCCCCCAATCTAGAATCAAACACACAGAAACACAAAACGACGCAGTCCTGACACACCCCCCTTAAAAAAAATCCCACATCAAATCAAATCAAATAAATTCAACATACATACATATACTGTAGGAGTAGGTCAAGTCACATCTGCTGGAGACCAAAATACTGCCTCATCACTCCACCACAGGGCCACGTAACAAGGTGTCCGCAAATACATTCTTAATTCCCTTAATATGCTTAATCATCAAGTTGTATGGCTGTAGGAAAAGGATCCATCGCATTAAGCAATGACTCGGACTCTGCAATGAGTGAAGGAATGTTAAAGGATTGTGATCCAAAAAAATAACAACCGGGGAACCTCCTCCCACATACACGTCAAAATGTTGAAGTGCCCAGATAAGCACCACTGTTTCCTTCTCAATAACAGAATAATTCAATTGATACACATTAAATTTGCGTGAGAAATATCTTATTGGTTGAGTAAGACTATTAGAATGAGTCTGGAGAAGGACCGCTCCGGGTCCCACGTGACTTGCGTCAACCTGGATCTCAAAGGAAAGACCATTTTGGGGCGCTGCCAACACAGGAGTAGCAGTCAACAACAACTTCACATTCTCAAAAGCTAACAATCAGTTATTGTCGGCGCAATAGGGTGACATAGGGCAGGGGTTCTCAATCTTTTCAACCCGAGACCCCCAAAATAACAATGCCAATGACTGGCGACCCCCACTGTTTTCGAAAGTGGTTATAATCATACAAATATTGTACGCAACTGCTCAGACAAACCAATAGGCCTATAAACACAAGCATATTGACAACACAAAAAGTGCAACAGTCTAAGAACTATATCTATATTTTTTTATTATTATATAATATTAACCTTACCAAATGAGACTGGTGGGCACAATATTTATTTAAGTTACATCGCAAGTCTTTTCTGGATTTAATTTTGGAGACTAATTCAGTCATGTCTGTATTTATTTTAAATGTACATAAGTTGCGTAAAGGTGTCAGATAGTTTATCTAGTGCCGTAAAATCAATCTGCTGCAAGTGACGCTATTGCTCTGTCGTTAATCTAATGTAAAAATCCCAGGCGTTGCAATTCCAATGGGGAAAAAATGAAAGGCTGATGGCTTTTTGTTTGGATGTTGCATTTTTATGTAACTATTTTTATCTTCTGTAAGTTATAGATAAACAATGGTAATTTAAAATGTTTATTCAAATTTATTAGATGTTTGGAAATAACCAAGTGACCCCCTCTCATTGTCCCGCGACCCCCACTTTGAGAACCACTGACATAGGGTGCAGTAGCACGTCAGGGCATCCCGAGTTCGAATCCTCGCTCAAAGACATTTCCCTTCCCCCCTCTCTCTCTCCAACTTTGCTACCTGTCTCAATACTGTCATATCCAAAAAAAAGGCCAAAAATAAATCTTAAAAAAAGAAATGAAAGAAGTTATTAAACCTACTACGTTTACAAATGTGTTAAAAAAAAAGTCTTTCCGTTATACAGAAATTGGGGAAAAAATATACAGAAGGACTATAAAATTCAGGAGGGCTAATAAATCTGACTTCAAATGTATATTTGTGGTGAGCATAAATATTTTAAATAATGCTTTAAATAACTTAAACATTTAAATAATCCCACCCCCGAACCTTGAAACAACAACACTACAATCAGTGCAATTCAAAGCTGTACCTTTCTTTTTAACAGCATCAAGGATGACCTTCTCCTCTTGAAAATGTGTTTTTGTGTGTCGACTCGAGATGCTCTGGATGAATCATTTCACTGGAGACCTGCTGATGAAATGGACGTCTCTTGTTGACACAGCTCTTGTTCCACTCGTGAGCAATGAAATGAGTAGCAAGCGATTTCTGCTGTTATTTTTGAGATGCTGATCTCACTGACAGGAGACGAAAGGAGCGAGGGAGTCTGTAGAAAATCAGAAAACCAGGCAAATTTGTGTTATTATGTAAGAGTGTGCTCAGCAGTTTGGTCTCTCTCTCTAGGAACGATGTCTTATTCTGCGTTTCAGGCCTGCTGGCGTACAGTGGTCTAAAAGTCTGGTCTCTGTGGGCTGTGTTGACATGAAAGAGCTGCAACAAATGACAGTAATGTAGTCGCAGCACCAATAGGCCGCTTGATGCAATCGATGTACAACATTGTTTTGCATCAGTTCGATGCTAATGAAGTTATATCACAAGCACTCGGCCACCGGCTCTGTCATTATGGGATAATAAAGACATCATTTGGCAATGACCAATGAATTATGAGATTGAATCAAAATGAAATAATACTCATAATGGTTTATACTGTCGCAATAAAACTCTAGAAACAAAGGGCTGACTTTAAGAGACCAAACGCTTTGGGAGAAAAGGAGGGAAACACTATTATAAATGCATTAAAAATGTTTGGTGTAGTAAATAAGTAAATAAATAAAAAACATCAATATTTTTTAAATGATATATAATAATAAATAATCAAAAATAACAAATAAATAAAACAATAAAAATAACAAAATAATAAAAAATAAATAATTTACAATTTTATATATATATATATATATATATATATATATATATATATAT